CCATGATCAATCGACGACCAGTTACAACAGTGGCCTCGGGCACGGACTCTAGGGAAGCGCTCAGCCCAGCTAACCTCATTTACGGACATTCAGGAGACACTATATTCCCGCAACACTCCATCAAACCGATCAACCCAGCGGATGCCGGCAAAATTGTTTTCTCGAAAAGATGGCTATATCGGCAGAAGATCCTGAATGCATACTGGAAAAGGTACCAAAAGGAATATCTACTTCAGCTCCGAACAGCCCACAACAGACTACCGTCGGAGGCTCGGCCCTTGAAGGTTGGAGATATTTGCCTGCTGGAAGACACCAACCACAACAGAGCGATGTGGCCCCTCTGCAGAGTGGCGTCCTTCCCTGACTCCGTCCCTGCAGAAAATGCAAGAACATGCACACTTCGCACGGCCAGAGGACAACTCCTAACTAGAGCTATCAAGAAGCTATACCCCATAGCTCCGGGTACATTCAAACCCGAATAAATCAACCACGGTCTCAGGCACAATCTCACCCGGAACGCTGAGAGAAATCAAACACTCCTCGGAAAGGAAAATTCACCAAAATAATCATAAGGACGAAAATTTATTGTGATCTTTAACAGGAAATAGGCCGTCTCAGGGAAGTTCGGCCCAGCTGGGGGGCCCGAAACGCCGAGCGTAAAAACGCGCAGTGCGCTCGTCCCGACGAGTTTGCCGCCGGGCGGCTCTCTCCTTGCGGATCTCCTCTCCCCGAGCGACTCGCCGGTCGTGAATCTCGAGGTCCCAGGGCGTGTGCTCGGCTGTTTGTCGCCGGACTCGCTCGGCCTGACCCTCGCTTTCGGTCTCGCTGTCCTCCAGCTGTTCGGGCTCTCGGACTCGGAGGTCTCCGGCAGCTCGAGCCCGAACCGGGCGAAGACTCGGTCGCGGACCTCCACGTAGTCCGGGCGGGTTGGCCGGGCCGCAGCAGTCCGAGCGTCCCGGCATACGTCCGACGGACTAGGACCATGACTTGTGCCGTCAGGTCGTGGGGCCCTCCCTTGTACAGGAAACGATCCTGAGCGCACGGCGTCTGGA